AATCTCAGCCCTGTGGGCTCCATACTCAGACCAGTGAAAATATCTCAGGCGTGGCCCTTTGAATACCCACTTGTACATTTCCTGGGAAATGTCTCTTCCTAATGGGGAAGGTTCCCTGGGGAATCGAGACATGCTCAGTGAGTCAGAGACCATACCAGAGTAGGTGTTATCACAGGCAGTCCCAAGGGGTACTCACGGATGCTCTGTTCCCACCCTATGTTCTGCAACAGACTACAGATAAGAAGTATTTTGCCCTCAAATGTATCCATAATCTATGTGTATCTCACGTGGCCCTGTCTCTGTGCTGATTCTGTCTGGTCCTGGTTCACTTGTCTATCCCCATAGGTCTTCACGCTCTCCCTTTCTGGAGACCAGATGGGTAAGTGTGTAGAAGAAAACAGATGAGAGCTAAGAGATCAGTAGTCATGTACAGATGTGAGAGTTGGACCATAAAGGAGGTTGAGCGCTAAACAATTGATACTTTCAATTTGTGGTACTGGAGAGAGCCCCTGGACAGCAAGGAGATCAAACTAGTCAATCTTAAAGGAAATCAACCCTGAATATTCACTGGAAGGAATGATGCTGAAGCTCCAATACTTTGTCCACCTGATGGGAAGAGCCAACTCACTGGAAAAGACCCTGATGCTGGGAGGGATTGAGGGCAGGAGAAGGAGGGGATAAAGAGGATGAGATGGTTGGATGGCAGCAGTGACTCAATGGACATGAGTCTGAGCAAACTCTGGGAGATGATGAAGGACAGGAAAGCCAGGAGTGCTGCAGTTCATGGGGTTGTAAGGAACTGGACACAACTTAGTGACTGAACAACAACAAAGAGATCAGCACTTAGGAGAGGGGGCAGGCCAAGCCAGGCTGAGGGGTCCTTGGCTCACAAGTCGGGTGTGAAACTAACCTCCTCCCTCTTGGGCTCCTGGAGGGAGGCTGACATTGGTCAGGGGAACAGCTGTGGGGAGAGACAGCACAGTGGGGTTTGGAGCCCATGGATGCACAGGGTTGGGGTTACGTGGTTGAGTATGGGTTTCCTTAAGTCTACCCTGTCTCAACAGTGGTCTTCCAGCTGGCCCAAGGGGCCAAGTCTGGAATCAAGGTTGAAGATCAGAGGTCCATGGGCCAGGTTTAGCCTGAAGGTAAATATTGTGTGGTTCAAACTTTTTTTCTTTTTCCTATTTAAATTAGTTGCCAATTTTTTTTTAACACATTATTGGGGATTTTTACAGACACTAATACCTGTTGCAGCTGATTTGTTATGTTAGTGAATATTGAAACACTCCAGTCAATAACATTCAGGTAACAGAAGACATATTAATATGTCTCTGGTCAGTAAGATGTTAAAACAGAAAGACCAATCTTTAAATCCTTATATGTATATTCCCAGCTTCTTGTGAAAACTGGAATATCTAGCAACACTGGGCATCCATGGGAGGTCAGCTGCCTCTTCAAACAGGATGTGTTCAAAGAGCAGGGCTGCTAGGAACTCGTTCCCAAGGGAAGCAGTGTCCATGTGCAGTCAGCAGGCCCCATGCTCCTTCAGAGCTCCTGGGCCTTTAACAGGAGGCCAGGTTGGCTTAGGCAAGAATAGTCTTGAGGGCTGACAGAAAAAGGTAATTGTTTGAGTCCATTTTCTGCCTCAAGGACATGAGTCATGCCTGCTTCTACCATGAGCCCGGGGCCCAGGATATCACAGTCAGATCAGGCAAGTCTCTGCCTGTCCCCAGTTAAGAGGACACTTAGGTACACACTCCAAGCTATAGATGGCATTACATCAGCACTGTGGTGCAAGAATTAAGCATCTTTTCAAACAGCATCAAACAGATTTCAGAGAAGCGTTAGCACACGCAGAACATTCAACGTGGGACTTACAGCTGGCAACCCAACCATCTCCAGTTCAGGCACCACCAAGCCCAGCAAACACATGAGTGGGCGCGATGCCTCAGAGGCCCCATAAGAACTTAACTCAGGATCCTCCAGGAGAGGAGTGCAATAGCACACTGCTTTCATTTTACCCTTGAAGGGCTGAGAGAACATGGTCAAAGTTATGGGCATAAAAATAACTTGGTTAAGTTCAGGAAGATCTTTCAACCTCACAGGGAGCAAATAAGAGCTACTACCCTCTAAAATCTACCAAGCCAAGATACCCACCTATGGTACATGCAAACCACATGACTGCTACCTCACCCACAGCACATAAGAAAGAAGATTTAGAACATAAACACGATGAAAAGGGTAGTTGAGCTTACGACTTTTAAAAAGTCTAAAAGCTGAACTTCTCTGGTGGTCCAGTGGATAAGAATCTGCCTGACAATGCAGGGGACAAGGGTTCGATCCTTGGTCTGGGAAGATTTCACATGCCACAGGGCAACTAAGCCCGTGGGCCCCAACTACTGAGTCTGCACCCTAGAGCTTGTGCTGCACAGCAAGAGAAGCCACCACAATGAGAAGCCTGAGCACCACAACTAGTGAGTAGCCTCTGTTCGCTGCACCCAGAGAAAGCCCTTGTGCAATAACGAAGACCCAGCACAGCTAAAAATAAAAAATTTTTAAAAAAATAGTAATTTTTTTAAAAAGTCTAAAATCCAGTCTATGGGATAATGCTTAGGAGGACAACAACCTCCCCGAGGTGGGGCTGGGAGCCAACATCGAACTCCTTGGTACAGAGACTCAATAAGGAAGCAGAAACATTGTCACGAGAAGGGCGTCGGGGGATGTGGAAGAGTAGAAGGGCAGTGGTCAGAGAGCTCAGGTACCACAATGGACCATTTTCTGACCTCCGATTATGTGGTTGGTTACTCACCAGGCACGACTTTCCTCAAACATTAACCTTCTGCCATTTTTCTTCCACGTTCCCTTCCACATGCAAGTTTTCCTGGTCTACATCTGTCTAGGTTCTTTTTTTTTTTTTTTAACAGCATTCCGTCATCTTCCTCCCTGGTCCCCGTCCCAGAACTGTACCTTCTGCCTTCTTTAAAATATAATCTAGTGGGTTGTCCTATGCACTCCTGTGAAAATGCTTTTCTGCTATTTGAGATTTTTCCACCAGGCTATTTTTTTTCTCCTGAGTCTTCAGAAGAAGATTCAACTTTCAAAAATAAAAAGAACTCCTATTGTCATTCAGATTTCCAGGGAATATGATGAGCAAGAGAAATGGCACAGAATTTAAACAGAAAATCAAATGAAGCTAAGAACATGGTAACTTATTAATCATCAGTGAAAGGAAGAACTAAAAACAGTTTCAGAGCTGCTGGAACTAGTTTCTACAAAGACATTTGCATAAAAATACTGATTTTTTTTTTTTTTTAAGTTCCTCAAATGCACTCAAAGCTAAGAAATACCTGGGACGTAAGACACTTATCCTGAGACCAGAGGTCATATTCAAAGCCTGTGTTCATTACTATTCTGTAAGAAATAATTTGAAGTTTATGCTGACCAGTAAAAAAAAAAAAAAGTTAGAACTTGGGAGGAAAGGATTATAAGCAGTCTTCTAATTGAACCCACTCATTTTAAAAGAAGGACTTTCACCATTACAGTATACTAACACATATATATGGAATTTAGAAAGATGGTAACGATAACCCTATATGCAAAACAGAAAAAGAGACTCCGATGTATAGAACAGACTTGTGGACTCTGGGAGAAGGCAAGGGTGGGATGTTTCAAGAGAACAGCAGCGAAACACGTATATTATCTAGGGTGAAACAGATCACCAGCCCAGGTTGGGTGCATGAGACAAGTGCTCGGGCCTGGTGCACTGGGAAGACCCAGAGGGATCGGGTGGAGAGGGAGGTGGGAGGGGGGACCGGGATGGGGAATACATGTAAATCTATGGCTAATTCATTTCAATGTATGACAAAACCCACTGCAATGATGTAAAGTAATTAGCCTCCAACTAATAAAAATAAATGAAAAAAATAAATAAATAAAAGAAGGACTTTCATTCTGTAACTAGTGAGCACATTTTATGTGCCAGGTACCATATCAAGAGCTACAAAGTATACACACATAAACTTCAGTAATGGTTTATTTTTCAAAATAACTGCAATGCAAAAGTGATGCAAGTTAAGGAAACCTATTAACTAGATATATCACATTAGTTCATAAAATATAATTTCTAATTAGTGTCTGAACAGATTCTGAAAACACCTGACAAAAATTCAACACCTCTTCCTAAAAACTGATGCTCATTATTTACAATGGGGTCAGATTGTTCAGAAAGTCAATTTACTATAATATTTTTACAAAAAAAAAAAATCTTTAGGTGATAGTAAAGACAACAACAGTAACATTTAAAACTGGGAAAAAAACACTCCCTCTATGATGTAAAGCATAGAAAATCTGGGGACTAAATCATATCTCTGGTGCAAATATGTTTTTGTATATCACATGTACACACAGCAAAAAGGACCAACGAGAAACAAGAAGATATTTAAGAGATGTTTTTGAATGGTAAAGAGCAGCTAATTTTTTTCATTTTGATATATATTAAACTATATTAAAATATTATTTATGTAATAATGTGATCAATTTTATCAAAGAAAGGCACACAGAGCAAGTAGGGGAAGAAAGAGGGTGGGAAAGAGGCACAAAATAAGCCTAACTGACTTTTGAAAACCCCAGATGCCACTTATAGGACAAAGGCGGTAGCCAGAACCATGGGCTACTTGGTCATGAGGAGTTAGCCAACATGTGTCCCATGTGGTTGGCATGATAAGATGAGGGGGAATTGTGAGAGCTCCTCACTGAACAAGGCCTGGAGAAAGTGCCTTGGGAATCTGTGGAACCAGCCCGACAGGTTATTCCTCTCAGGCCTGCCCTTCCCCACCCTCCCCCTCTAGTTTCACCTGCTGTGTAAACACCGCAAGCTGGGCGTCCAACCGTCCCTGCAGGCAGGACTGGCAAGGAAGGAGGGAGCTCTTTAACCTGGACCCAGAAAGGGGCTCACCCACACGGCTGCAGGACCCAAGGCCCTGGGCCTCACCCGCCCGTACCTGTTGAAGCATCTCTTCGGCAGCATTGAGTTTCACCTGGTGCCCTTCCAGACACACTTCCAGGTCCCGAATCTTCTCTCCCTGGGCTTCCACTTGGTCTGTGAGGACACTCACCTGTCCCAAGAGATAAAGCACAGGTTGAGGATCAGGACTGGCTCCCCACACACCACTGACCCTGGATGTGAGAAGAAGCGCTGTTCTTTTTGGCGGGTGGCAAGTGGTGGAAATGTTCTAGATGAAGGAAACCCAGGTTATTTTCTTACCTGGCCGGGAAGTCTCAGCCACCACCCTGACAAGGTCGGTCACATTTCCGGCTCTTGACAGACTGAGGGGGGAAAACACCCAGTGGCCACAAGAGTGGCCTCCGGGCTGGACTCTGGCTCTCTATGCCTCCACAGGGCTCCCTCGGCTGGCTTGCCAGGGCTTCTGCTACCTCACGTGGAAGCACAATCCAAACTTCTGTGCAGACGAGCCAATGACCTTCCCTCTCTCATCAGGGTGTGAGGACCGCTCACCTATCAGGCGAGGGTTCTGAAGCAATTAAGGAATGTGGGACGTAAAGGGCATGTATTAGCACTGACAACACTTGGCTGCAGAGAGGGTTTGCGCTTCACAGGCCAAAACATGACTCTAAGTCATAAATATATACAAGCCACATTGCGTAGACAGTGGCAGCAAAACAACTGTCTTTCTGAAGAACAGTGAGACTGTCTATTGGAATTGTTAGTTCATAAAAATCCATTTACAATAAGTCATTTAAACTGTTCCCGAAATACAGACTGAGAGGATTTTCATAGCCTTCTCTATCAGCAAACAGCCTCAGGACCCTTTTTCCTTGTTTGTTATTAAAAGGTGACTCAGAGCAGAAAGAGGAAGAAAGCACATGAGAAACCTCTGCCAAAATAAAGAAATCAAGTACTGGTAAACTGAGATCTTCTACAGCCTTCTTGTTTTTAACCAATGGTTGACTCATCGCTATTTACATATACATGACGGTAAATTATTTCTCAGTCTGTAAAGGAAAGATAGCTGGAGCATGAGCCTTAGTGTGAATTCCTTTATGAGTGTTTAAACAAACTTTATGAATTATCTCCCTTTTACAGAGGAACTAATCTTAATGAATACAACTGCTTTAAGCCTTTCATTTTTATGTTCCTAAGTGATTAGTGAATCATTGAAACATATTCCTGGAGCTGATGCATGGTGTGCTAATATTTCGATCATAATCCCCAAACGGGCACCTTATCCTTGCTGCCTAACATGATCAGCAGTCTGGGCCTTTCCAACTACTTACTCTACTTTCAAAAGAGTAGCATTCCAGGGGTGGCCTTTGCTCCTTGGGTCCCAGAGTTTCTGTTTGGGAAGGATATGCTGTGATTAATCTTACTGTGAAGACTGATACCTAGAGAGTCTGTACCCCCACTGTGGGGTCATGCACTGGGGTACCCAGAAAAATAATGCATGGTCTCTGGCCTCCTATAGCTTATAGCCCAGCTGCTCATACAACTCAGGATACACAGGGCTACAAATACTCTGAACATGAATACTCAGTCAAAGTTATGAACGGAGAGGTGTAGAAAGTTGGGACGAAATATGTAAAGATTCTAAATGTGACCTTTATTCAAGAAAAATACTTTTTGAGCCCCTACTACATGCTAGGAATAATTTTAGAAACTGAGGGGATACAAAAGTAGAAGAAGAAAAAAAAGATGACAATCCTTACATTCAGAAGTTACATTCTAATGAAGATATATTAATAAAAGATTTTGGTTTTATTTGCTTTTAATTCTGGAAGCAACAAATTTTGCCCTGATTCCCCTTGTTCTTCTGCAGGTAAACCCAGGAGAACATTCTGGAGCAAGGGCTCCAATGAGTTGGGTCTGGCTGAGCTACCTTGTGAATTAAGCAAGACTCTCCCATGCTGGGGGTCATGTCCGTGCCATGGAGCCTCTAGAGACAGTTGTAAGCACGTAAGAGCAACTCTGACAGCCTGTCTACAAGCCCCTGGAGGAACAGAAACCACTAAAATGGCCAGAAGGAACCTGACGCCCTACAGTCCATGGGGTCACAAAGAGTTGGACACGACTTAGGGACTGAACAACAGCAACGATCCACTTCTGACTTTTCTTGTAAGCAGCTTCCCGACTATGCTAGGATTATTTTAATAAGGATTATTCAAGAATTTGGGATTTTAAAACTATCAAAGAGAGTACTTCTGTATTAAACTGTAGTCCTCTAAATTGCTGTGGTTGTTTAGTTGCTAAGTCATGTCTGACTCTTTTGTAACCCCATGAACTGTAGCCTGCAAGGCTCCTTCTGGTCATGGGGTTTCCCAGGCAAGAATACTGAATTGGACTACCATTTCCTTCTCCAGGTCCTCTAAATGGGAATGTCTTATTTCAGCCAGGAAGGTTCTTGGTTCAATAGTTTGCAATTTCATACTGTTTGTAGCAAAATTCTAAATTGGACACATTCATTAGTCATGTCATTGGGATGGAGGTTAAAATTACACACCCCTCAAAACATTGCACTCTACTGCTCTATATAATCTGGCCCCTGCTACCTCTCTGAAGGCAGTTCCCAGGCTTCTTCATGGTCACCAGCTACAGCCACACAGGCCCTTCCTGTTGTTCCCACACACCAAGATCACTCCCACCTCAGAGTGCGCGCTGGATGGACCACCTCCTCTGCCTGGAATGTGCTTCTCCCAGTCTCCATGGGGCTCCCTCCCCAGTTCCTTAGGTCTCCTCCTATCAGGGAGGTCTTCCCTGACTACGCAGTCCTTATCCTGCTTTCTTTTCTTCCATAGTATTTATCATCGCCAGAAACATTTTATGAATTGGTTTATTGTACATACACACATACACACACACTCATGCATGGAAGCTTGAGAACAAGGACTTTGTCTATACTCTTCACAGCTACCTCCCCAGCACCTAGAACCAGTGTCTACTGAGTTGTTGGCATGCAAACATTTTTTAATAAATAAATCAATGAAGTGAAGAAAAACAATCCTAGGATGCAAAATTGTGTAGTTGTATATTTGGCCTGAGCTTAATTTTTTAAAATAGGGGCAGGACAGGAGAAGTAAAAAGATTGGAAGAAAAGGCCAATGTGTTAAATTCTTTTTGATGTCCCAAAGTTTCTAAAATAATCATATATTCTATGAATACTTCTATTCATAAAATAAAGTGAAATGAATAAAGAAATAAGGTAAAATAGAAGGGAAAAAGTCAAACATACTGTAGCCTCTAAACACTAGTGCTAACTTTAGTGCTCTAAGCTAAGGCCCGTAGTCTAGGGAGGGGCCCAGAATCCTACACCTGCCTCCTCCCTTCTGTTCCACTATCAGTCTTCACCACCACCGTCGAAGTTCTTTTTTAGAAGCTGGGATTAAGATATTAGTCTTAATATTCTCCAAATCATCAGGCACAGTGACTGATGCGTAAACAGCACTCAGCTTTTCAGAATGCGAAGCAAGTTTTCAGACCCAAAACTATCTTTGACTCTTTGCTTCTGAAAAGTTTTGGAGTTCCTTTCTTCAAAGTAAAGAATCCACTTGCAATGCGGGAAACCTGAGTTCTATCCTTGGGTTGGGAAGATCCCCTGGAGAAGGGAAAGGCTACCCACTCCAGTATTCTGGCCTGGAGAATTCCATGGATTATAGTCCATAGGGTCACAAAGAGTCGGGCAGGACTGAGCGAATTTCACTTTCACTTTTCTTCAAAGTAAGAGCGTCACCAAAGGCTTATTAACCCATGTTAACAGCTCCAGGGGATTTGGCCTCAAAGTGATCAGTTTGGATCCAACTCCAGACGAACTGAGGCTGATCCTGTGAGCATCCATCCTGGGGCTTTTAAAGAAGCTTTGTTTTACTAGTGACATGAGAACACATCTTATCTCCTTTGCAAGATTACTGGAGGACAGGGCCCCATTTAATCAGCCTGGTCACAGAGCTTCCAGTGCATAGAGGGAAGTACTCTCATAGCCTGTGATAAATAAATGAATCCATTCACAGCCTCCCAAAGCCAACTGTGTCCCTAGTTACTTTCTGCTTTGTTTCAGAAAAAGTCTTTTGAGAAACATACACTCTGGGAACAGGAGATACCGGGCAGAGAAAACCCTTAGTACTTCCCTCCCACTTAAAGCAGCTACAGAGTTGGAGGTAACAGAACAAAGTGATTCCCACCAGAAAGGACTCACCTGTAATATGAGGGACTCCTTATCTCCTTCTAGACGTGCTAAGCGTTCCTGGTATGTTTCATTACCGGCAGCACTGTGGTGATTTACCTGGGACTAAAGGGAAAAGGAAAAAAATCACACACTTAAAAAACTGGCAAAACATCTTACCAACTTCCAAATGAAGTATGCAACTGGTGAGGACAGTTTCACTGATTATCTATGCAAACAACCCACCTCAACAGGAAACCACAAGATGTCGAAACCACTTCAAGGAGGACCAGACCAGATGCCAGCGATAGGTGTGCCATGAAAGTTGGCAAAACCGCCCCCTGGATGACCTCACCTTTGGCTAGAAAGGCTCTCATGGAACTCCAGACCCGGCAGTGCTTAACGTGACTGGGCGTGTTGGGTCTGGTTTGGTTGGAGGCACAGCCTGCCAGCCGCACCAACAGCAATATGGGTCCACCTCTTTGAGGAGACCAGGGAGCTGATACCATCCACTAAGGTACAATGTGGGGACAACCCCGGCGCAGACATCATCTCCTGACTCTCCTGCCAGGGTTCTCCAAAGCCGAGGCACACTTTACTGCATGGAGGCCCATCCTGAACATTGCAGAGAGCATGAAGGATGGGGGATGTCAACTGCAGGCTCTTCATCTACTCACTTGTTCCCTTCCGGGAGTGGACAATCTCACCCCTCAATAAGGGCTGTGACAGTCAAGGTGGACATGGAGTTGCTGCAGTGCTAAAGCTGAGAGGAGTAAGCCAGGATGAAACAGCTTGAGAAGAACCCAAATGACAGCCAGAGGATCTCCAGGGACAAGTAGAAGGAAAACACAGGAAATACAAGGAAGCCAGAAACCATGGAAATCAGAGGTGAGGGAGGTTTGACACAGCAGAGGAGAGGCAAATCTTATAAAATGTCTTGAGCTAGAGACAGGAGCTGCAGTCACTTTCTGGGTGTGTCTGCCCTGGTTGTAGGCAAGGAGGAGGGAGGTAGCTGCTAATGGAACTGAACAGGACCAGCATCTCCCACGCACCCTTCCTCCACAGTGAATTTAAGGCCCAAATCAGAACCACATTCCAACCTTCAGAATGGGCTTTCCAATCCTCTTACATTAAGAAAAGACATCACCTCCCTTCCCTTGTCCTGCCCCTTCCCCAGTGTACTGCCTAGGTGAGGGCAGGTGGCAGAGCCAGGCCTGGCTCTAAAAAAGAAACAGGGACCAAGAATTCTATATTCAAGCCTTGGGGTGTGACTTTTGAGAGAAGCACCAGCTGCTTGTTGAAGGTGCAGTGGGAGGGTGAGCCCAGGGGCCATTTCCCAGGGCGGCTGTGCCAGACACAGGCCAGACAGACAGGACACCCCTGCCATTCCCCTGCCTCTTCCTCCAGACCCCCTCTCCAGTCTGCGTCTTGTTCGTTGTTAGGGACGCTCTTTCATATCATAAACAAAGGGTCTTGACAATCACCAAAGGCCTCTCTGTGTTGAGAGCAGTTTATTATTATTCCATTAATCAATATTCCAGTCATCACATGGTCAAACACTGACTAGTATCCAAAGATATAATTATAACCAACATTTTCTCAGAACTTAACGAGAGAGGAAAATAGTTTTTAACAGCAGGTCAATTGCTTCTCTGTCCAAGAACTCACATGATGGTGATTTTCAGAGGAGAGAAAAAGGAAAGGACCCAGGCATCCAAGTGAAGCTGTGCATGTCCAAACCCAGTGCCAAAGTCAGCATGTGCACAGGGCCACCCAGCACTGGCAGCTGCCACTTGCCCCACAGGACGTGAAGGGAAGGCTCCTTCCACAAGACTCCAGTAAACTACCTTACCACCTGGGCCTCTGTCAGATGGAGTGGTGAGTTCATGCAGTAAAAGATCTACCCACACAATCACCCAGAGAAGCAGCTAGTTGATTAATAAACAAGAAGAAGTTGACATCGTAAGTTCAGTTAATACACAAACTGCATATCCTAGAATCATAGAAGTAGATTTTTTAAAAAGATATGAATCCATTCTAGCAGTCAATGGAAAAAGGGAAGCACAACTGAGTTAAAAGATACACAGGTTCATATGATAAACTCCAGGTGACTCTAGGAGAAGCACAACTCTTCCTAAGGAAGGGAGAAACGTCCTTCCTTTTCATAAAGAGACTCTGTGCAGTGGGATAAACAACATTCATGGTGATAGCCTCACAGTAAACAGAGCCAGCAGAACTCATTGCTCTTGTACGATGCTCTCAAATAGGTCAAAGGTTAGTCAATTCATGGGCCAGAGATCGAAGCAATTCCATGGAGACTAATACAACGTGGTCCAAGCACTGTGCTCTAGACACAAAGCAGGCAGTAAGGCAGAGATCACCATGTGCCAGGCACCGTTGAGACCACTTTACATATACTAATTCATTTAATCTTTCCCACAACTCTGCTAAAAGGGTGCTATTTTTATTCTAATTTTACACTGAAAGAAACTGCAGCACAAAGTGTATGAACAAGGCACAAATGGATTATTTGTCTAAGTTGTGTGTGTGTGTGTGTGTGTGTGTGTGAGTTGCTCAGTCGTGTCCAACTCTGCAACACCATGGACTGTAGCCCGCCAGACTCCTTTATCCATGGATTCTCCAGGCAAGAATACTGGAGTGGGTTGCCATTTCCTTCTCCAATTATACTTCATATGTAACAAATACTTTTGTTTATAATTCAAACTTTTGTATATACATGTGTTGTTTTCATATATGGTCTAAGTTACTACATATTAAATTTGTAAGCTCTCTGCTATAGCTTAACTGAAGAGCAGATCAGTATAAATTTTGTTTCATACATTGGGATAAGAAAGTTCACTTAAAGTATAATATTTAAAAATGCTCTATGAACCTAAATATTCATTAATAGAGGAAATGATTTAAAAAAAAAAAACTATGGTTCACCAATATTATGTACAACTTGTAGCATCTTAACATATGAGGCAAGTATTTATGACCATCCTACAAATAAAATAGTAGGATAGTGAAAGCAGCAAGATTAAAAGAATCATTCAGTGTGATACTGAAAAAATACTATCCAGGGACTTCCCTGGTGGTCCAGTGGCTGAAACGCTGCACTCCCAATGCAGGGGGCCCAGGTTCGATCTCTGGGCAGGGAATTAGAACCCACCTGATGCAACTATGACCAGGAGCAGCCAAATAAAATAAATAATAAAAAAAAAATTACTATCCAGTTCCATAAGTATTGATAAATGTATGAAAACAAATTAAGTGTCTGGAAGGTTACAGAACAACCCTTAACAGTGCTCTCTTTTGGGGCAATTTCTGGGCTATGAATAGCTGGGACTGGGAGGTTTGGTCAAGATTGGTTTTTACTTTAACCACAATATTTGAGCTTCTTACAAAAATATATTTACTCGAGTAATTAAAATACATTTCAAAGGCTAGAAGCACTGTTTGAGAAACTAGAAGAGTAGGTCTAGGAACTTTTTTCCTCCCCTATAGACTTGAGTGGCTTCCCAGGTGGCACAGTGGTAAAGAACCCACCTGCCAATGCAAGAGACCTAAGAACCACCGGTTCATTTCCTGGGTCAGGAAGGTCTCCTGAAGGAGGAAATGGCAACCCACTCCACTATTCTTGCCTGGAGAATCCCATGGTCAGAAGAGCCCATAGGGTCTCAGAGTTGGACTCGACTAAAGTGACTGAGCACACACACAGCAGACTTGAGGGGCATGTCCTCGGCTGGCAGTCTGCACGTGCAACTGCTGCTCATGGCAGAAAGGTCCCTCCCTCAACCCAAGTCACCATTCTAGAGGAACAGGGCATCTTCCTCTCAAAGAGTGTGCAAAAGTCACTGCTCTTCTCCAGCAAGTTTTTAAAAGCTATTAAACAGCAGTGAGATAATGTCCCAGACAGAAGTCTGCTGTATTATCATCCTTTGCTTTTGGTGAAGTTCAGAGTCCTGTGTTTTCTCTTCTACATAAGGTTGACAGCTCTCAGGAAAACTGCACACAAGCCTTAACTGGGCACAGACCAGGATAAAATACCACTTCTACTTGAAGAACCTGGAAAGCATCAGAAAACAGGGCCAAGAAGATTACTTTAGAATCACCTTGTTGCATGCCAACATTCATTAGCCAAAGGTGTGGATTTGAGCTTTAGTGAATAAATGCATTCTGTCTTCCAATAATTGAGCAATAAGTTGTCACTTGTTGGCATCATTCTTGGATTATAAAATGTCAGTATCATCAGGGCATTAAAAAGCCAGATGGTTATGAAAATTATTGAAAAACAATTAAAAAGACAGTTGGAACACAACTCTGTTTTGCCCCACTTTGCTTTGTCAGAGGGTACACCTGCTTCCTTAATTCTAACAGTGGCATTGCAGTAGAAGGTTTGGATCAATACTGAGATCATCAACTGGCTCCCTGAGTGATTCCAAGGTTTGGGAGTCTCTGAAAAGTCTGGTCCACATTCTCTATTAGGTAAATCAGTGGTGGAGTGGTTGCCCAGCTCTCCACGCATGAAGTCAGAAAGAGAGAACCATGTCAACATTCCACTGAGAAGGAGAAAGTCACACTGAATTCTGAAGGAATCTAATGGAAAATGCTAAGTTTCTATTCCTCCCTACCTGGTACAGCAAATGATCTAAAAAGAGTTCTGTACAGTTCTACTCTATTAAGGATGCTCATCCCATTGATGAATATAATTTTTTTTTAAAAAGAGGTCATTTTTAAACTCATTGTTAGTCCCTAGGCTGGATCTATACAATGAAATTCTGATGTACTAAGGTGTAATACACATATATTTGATCAAATTTTCTCCTCTTCTCTTTTGATGGTTATTTCTACAAATGTGACAGAGGGGAAAACTGAATCTTCTCATCCAAACTTTCTATGATCAGAGCTATTCTTAAAACTACAATTCATGTTAGTTACCTGATATAATATTTTGTGGGACCAAGAGATATTGTGAAGGCAAGGGATCTGTGTACACTATGGAGGTGAAGAGGCAACTACAGATTGCCACTGCCATGACCTCTTGCATCTCTTACTGAGGGATGCCAAAGTGAAGTATATACCCTCTCTTATATCACAGAAATGAATCAGCACAGGGTGTTCTC